CAATATTTCGAAATTTAAGGACGCTAATTTACTTAAAATGTATACACCCCGGCTTATCATGTAGCGGTAGCTTTCGGAAAGGTGGAAAACATATATTTAATACTTGCGCCGGGTATTTAATGTTCGGCTCCGCCCGAACTTAGACTTTCTTACTTGTTATATTGTTCAATAAATGATTTTTAGTGACCATCAGGTCAAGGTGCAGGGATAGTAGCCGAGAGTTGTAGCTTTATTTTAAGCCCCAGTTAAAGGTTCTATTACCTTTTGTTTTTTGTGATAGACCTTCTAAGATTTTGCAAAAAACGCGATGTTTTGACCCTTTGACCTCGTTTTTCTCAAAATCTGGAGCTGATGGAAACTTTATGCTTACGGACTCGTAATCAGCATAAAAAAGTCTATCAAAAACAGCTTTATCATTTGCCGCAACAAAATCACTGTTGCCTTGTTTAATTGTTGCTTATTATAAATTTTCAAATATGATATATTTTGTTTAAATTTCGTAATATAATTTTTTGATTTGTTTACAACCAAGAAACATACAAACGTCAAACACCGATAATAGAAATGCTTTACTTCAGACATAGCCTTATGGTTTGAAGCAACGTTTAAATATAAAGGGAGCTTTTCAATTAAAGGTTGCTTGAGAAAACGGCCATTAAAGGAGGAATCACAATGAAAGTATCACTTATAATAAAAACATGACAAACTTAAAAAACTGACGCGCAGCTACATGGAGACATTATAAATAAAATCGGCTGTGCTAGAGGTTTTAAACTATCTATAGTCAACTAGTCCTATCGATAGTTAAACCTTTTTTGAGAAAAACTATCACTACTCATCGATAGGGGCAAAAAAATAAAACTATCGATATATCGATAGTACCATCGATAGTTTGACACCTCTACTATTTAGGTGGAAATTTAAACAACTGTAAGCTTGTCTAAAAAACTGTATTTTACAGTTTAAATTGTGAATCTGGCATTATTATAGTCTTTTAATAAATAAGATATGCATATGTACTTATATACATATGTATATAAGATAGTTCATAAAATACGTCACTTACGCATTGTTGAATTGGTCCTTTAGATGGGAACCTTGTTGAACTGCGATGGCATAAGGTTTGCGTGAAAACTCTTCGCCCACAATTTGGAGATCGCAATTTGTCATAACCAGATATCGAATATCTGTAGCATCACCGAGAAAGGCGAAACCCGTAGCTGATGTAGAACTTCGAACTCGTTCTACCGCCTCTTCCAGGGTTGCTGGCAATTGTGCTTCTTGCATAGCTTGCCACATTTTGGTATATTTATCGCTAACTGGGTAATCCCAGACTGCAAGCTTCGAGCGCTCCAGTGGTGAAAGTGAATCGTTCAAAGATAAGTCTTTCCATATTTCATAGAAACGTTGCTCAATATTTGCCATGCGCTGAAAATATGTCATTGCTGAAGAACCGTTTATCGGTGCATATAAAATTTTGTATTGCTTGGCAAGGTCATCCAGAGACTCCACAGGTGTGTCGAGACGTGATACAGTCAAAAAAGCAGCCAAGTTAGCCGTGTAAGAAGCGATTATAATGAAGCTTTTTGTTTTGAAAATTAATCAATTCGTGCAACGGGTGTTTAAAAAATTATAATAGATTTATTTATATATTAAGTCTAATACACATACGTACCCGAAAAGCCACCATGTTGCTGCCACTAAACGGCCAGAAAGGTTTTTCGGCGCCTCGCCGCCTCCTTGTGGTGTCAGTGATGTCATGCAAAACCAAAGACATTCCTTTAGGTTAAATTCTCGTTTCTCGTCATCATCTTTATATTTTTCACGATTGTTCTGATAACTGTAAGGACTCCATCGGTCGAAGATCCACATTAAAAAACTAGTGAAGAAGTAAGCAGCCAAAATACATAGCCAAACGTTCGTCTCAAGCACCGTCAGGAACTTGAATAAGGAACTTGGGACTTGTGGCCTCTGCATCATGATGGTAATGCCTACCAAATCGTAGTAGGGTACCGTAAAATCAATAACTATTTCACGCTCAGCCATTACATGCATAGAGCCCAATCCAATATCCGCTTGTTTATCCATCAATTTTTTCACAATTCCATTCCATTCTCCCTTCTCATCCATATTGCCAAATTTTCCGTCTTCAACCTCCTGGATGGTGTAGTCAAAATGTACAATATCAGCGATCTCGTTTATTAAATCTATACAGTAGCCCTTGTAACCCTTTGGAGCTGTCTCATCTTTGATAATAAATGGAGCTTGCTGTTGGATAAGAAATGCAAGATTATGATTAATATACAAGAATAAAACGTCCGCTTGACTTTAATTTAGGTTCGCAAGTAAATCTATTAAGCCGCAAGCAGATCTGCTCTACCTAGGCGAACAAATATCATATACATATATGTATATGTACAATGTATGTACGTATTCTAAACATTAAATGGGTAGCGGTAATTCAAATAGAGTCACGCGTTATTTTGCCAAACTGCACATATATGCATTATATATACGTATGTATGCACATATCTAGAAAGAAGAATCCACATGCACGGTAGCCGTTTTGGCCGAAATGTACCATTTATGGTACACTTTTTTCTGTTTGGTACGCAGGTATGCAACTTTCAGAATTGGTACAGTTTTTAATCAAAATGAGAAAATGATTACTTACCTCATATTTATACCTATTTAAAGTTCAAACCTTTAGGTAAAGCCAATGACCATATCAATCAGGCAAATCTGCTTTTACTGCAAAACATTGTCTCACTCAGGTAATTGAAAAGGTATTGCTGTATAAGCAAATAGCCCTTTACGGGTTCCTTGACATGCATGCAAAATCCAAGGCCATGACAAGCCATGAAGATATTCCTAATGTAATAACTGCATGGAACATAAGCATGTTGAATCCAGAACTATAATAGCAGAACAAAGAGACGTCAGGCATGCGATCCTGGAAAAGCAAAGGATTTTACGTAAGCTACTCGTCTTCGTGGTGGGCTACAATGAAGACAACATTGCCTCTAGATTGCAGGGAGTCTGACAGGGGTCAACTGAAAGTCTTATCTCATAGCTAGGCTCTCAGAGGCATTGACGTTTTGGGCATTCAATACAGTCACAAAACCGATTACTAAGTACAGTCCAGGAGGCTAAAAGTTAAGCAGCGATCTGTCTGCGTAACCATTATATTTAGGAGCCATACGCACCTTCCCTACGGAAGCACTGTAATCATCACATACTATACTAATTGACAATGAGGCTTTCTGAAGCGGTTTGTATCTCAGCAACTTGATGAGCATAGGAAGCCGGACCTTCAAGGGTTCTTGATAGTTTTAAAACCAATCTGTGAGGATCTCTCGTTAAACTCACAGACAAACTGTTACCGAAAGTATCCTTCCAGTAGCCCTACAAGGTAATAATTTCTAAAGAGTAACTCATTTTCGTTGATGGTGTTTTCGACAAGGTAGGAGTACGAAAGCTACATATATGTATGAGCAATGTATATTTTTAAAATATTTGAATAATTAAATCTATAGCTTAAACCTATTTTGGTAATTTTTTTGCATTTTGGTACACGTTTTGGTACACAAAAAACTAGTAAGTGGCAACCGTGTCCACAAGCAGTAACTCTCAGCAAAGATTGTGAGCACATACATATGTACGTGCATACATATTTCTGTATGAGGGTGGTTCGCACAGACTGCTCAAAGCGATTCATTGTAGCGGCAGGAGGGTGGTTCGAAGATATTGCTTGGTTCAGTATATCTTCATCGGATCTAGTAAGCCGTCCATCTGAACAGGCCGCTGACAAGTGTGTTTGATGAGATGTCCATCCGGCGTTTTCTGACCGCTGTTGTATTCCACTGTAACAACTCGAACGAGGCCATAACTGCCTGGATGGACAGCGGTTATACGTCCAATGCGCCAATGGGCAGGCGGCAAGTTTTCGTTGAGGATTAGCACAACATCATCACAGCGGAGATTGGGTTCTGAGCGTGTCCACTTATTCCGTGACTGCAAAGACATCAGATACTCGTGCTGCCAGCGATTCCAAAAATGTTCGTACATATGCTGAGAACGCCCTCAGTATTGAAGACGATTGTCTGGCACGTCAGGTATAACAGGCTCTGGTCGTGAAATCAGCGGTCGACCTACTAAAAAAACACCCGGCGTGATAGCTAGCCCGCCTTCTGGATCATCATGTAACGCAACAAGCGGTCGAAAGTTCAAGCATGCCTCAATACGTACTAAAAGCGTGCTGAGTTCGTTAAATCGCAAGGTCTGCCTACCTAGAACTCGATATAAATGTTTCTTCGCTTAACGAGCGGCAGCTTCCCAAAGTTCACCGTGATCGGGTGCAGATGGTGGGATAAAATGCCAACGCGTGCCTAACTTGGCTACGTGTTGCTGCGCGTACTTACTTACTCACGCATGTAAAATCTAAACTTCATGGCGAAGGTACTGAAGCATCTGCTGTATCCATCATGCATATAGACTTCATGGGCGTCCGCAACGAGTAGTTTCGTCAGCGGACCATTCTTCGGAAGAATCATCGAATATCGCTGGTCATATAGAAGTTGCGCAAGTTCCAGGCATCCCCCTACCCGGAGGATTCGATCTTCATCCAGAAAGGGTATTCAAAGGGAGGAGCTTGCTTGATGAATGTACGCTGGAACGAGATTCGAGAGAATTAATTTCGGTAAGGAATACGTTACCTTGGGACTGTTTTATATGCATGCGAAGGGTCCAACGTAGTTTGTCTGCAGTCAACACATCGTTTCGATGACCCTGGAAGATTGGCCGAATTCTGCGAATGCGCACCATGATGTTCAATAGTCGACTCAATTGGCTGCATTTTTCCACTAGGGGTATTCGTTGATTGTCGTATGAAGTCATTATAAATGGTGTTTTCGACCCCACATCAAGTAGAATATGAGGCCCGCGACCTTCAGCCAGGACCACTTGTTCTTCTACTGTTGTCAGCTCGGGCATCGTTGTTACGCAGGTAGGTGTCTGACGAATACATGACGGCCCAGACCACCAAAGGGCATGTCTCTCCAGAACGGCTGGAGCCACTCCTCGGCTTGCAGAATCCGCACGATTCGATTCTGAGCGTATATGGTTCCAGCAGTTCACCTTGGAGTTTTCCTGAATGAACGCCACACAATTTGCAACAAATGGCTTTAATGTTGATGGTTGCTTGCGTATCCAGTGAAGGACGATAGCCGCGTCACTCCAAAGGGTATATTGTATATTCTCGAGATGTGGAATTTTAAGAACATTTTCTAATGTAGCCACCAGGAGGTGAACTGGCCTCAGCTCTATTCGGGGTATGGTAATATGTTTTAACGGTGCGACCTTAGCTTTAGCTGCAACCAGGGCAACTCGGACCTCTCCGCCCAAGGTTTCACTTCTCACGTAAATCACCGCAGGCTTTACTGCAAAATCCCTGCAGCGTCACAGTGCCAGTACGGTGCATGCCAAGTCAGCGGGGTATGCGAATTCGACCTACTTCGACTAGTCCATTTCGAAATATAATCCACCGTTCCTTCAAGTCAGCTGGCAGTGGGTGTCCCAACATATATTGGCCTTACACAGTTCTTCTATGAATATTTTCGCGGATACCACAATTAAAGCCAACATTCCAATCGGATCGTATAACCGCGTGACTTCGCTCAGCACGGAACACTTAACAAGCGTTACTTGGTCTTGATCTAATCGCACCTTATACAACAGTTCGTCATGTATTGGGTCCCACTGTAGTCCTAAAACCTTAGTATGACACTAACCCAAATCCATTTCTGAGGTAGACACCACGAAGCCATTAAGAGCCTTCAAGACTTCCGCACTGTTGGAGTTCCACTCACATACCTCGAATTTGCCTTTAATCAGAATATCATACACATCGCGACGAGTCAATGCTTCGTTTGCATCATCTACGCTATCCAAGTAGTCATCTACGTAGAAATTGTGAGCGATACTATTTCGTGCCACAGCTGCCCGGCAAGCATCAGTAATTATTCCGTGGTTATCGATCGCACACTGTTTCAACGCACGAACAGCGTTAGATGGGCTGCAAGGCATCCCATAAGTAACAGTGCTCAGCTGATAGGTGCGAAGGGGATCGTTAGGAGACTCCCTCCAGAGAATCTGCTGCCAAACGCGATGTCTAAGGTCTACTTCATTTTGTCGAAACATCTTCTTGATGTCACCCGTAATCGCTACAGCGAATCGACAGAACCGTTGTAGAATGTCAACAATGTTGTCGTGGAGTTGATGACCGGCAAATTCTGTATCGTTCAGCGATACCCCGTTGCTCGATTTGGTCAAGGCGTTGAACAATACCCGAAACTTCGTCAGCACAACATGGTGAGGGATGAAGTAGCATTGTGACTCATCAATATCAGAATCCCCAATCGCTTGTATGTGAACCAGTGCCTGGTAATCTTGCATAAATTCCACATATTTCTCACGGAGCTGCTGATTGCTTGCCAACTTGCATTCGAACTGAAGAAATTGGCGGAGCGCTGCTAGAATTCCCAAGTGCCGGGGCGTCACGACGAAATGGAATTTGAAAACTATATTGCCCGTCTGGCCTCCGCGTGACTGTGTTCATGAAGATGCGTTCACACTCGTCCTCTGCAGGGATTCGTATCTCTGAGGATGCTTCTTCCTCCTCCCAAACCTTCTGCAACAAAACATCTAGCCGTTGTTCATCGCATTTATAAGCTGTATACATATGCATGCGCGGTTGTGTTCTGAGTATTGGTCGTTGTCTGACCGAACACGATCCAACCGAGGCGAGTCTGCAGCGCGCACGGCTGGTTTGTATTACCCGCAACTACCCCGTCCTGGATAATTGCGCTCCAAGTATCAGCACCTAGAAGCAGATCTATACATCCAGATGTTCCAAATGTGGGATCGGCAAGTCTAACCCTTTTATATGGTTCCAAGAACTGGCATCAATTGACGTTAACGGCGTGGTAGACGTAATTGTACGCAAGATGTATACATCTAAATTGATCTCCAGGTCTTCGTTGACCGTAGAATGCAACCTTATGGTAGCTATGCCCTTGGTGTAAGCTGACGGAGCTTTTCAATGCCCTCCACCAGCACCTCGCAGCGTCGCCTACGTAAATTCAGCTTCTTAAACATTGACTCAGTTGCAAGACTAACCTGAGATCCCATATCACACAGCGTCCGACAGTAATGTCGATTCCCATGGTAATCAGTTAGCCGTACATTGGCTGTAGCGAGCAACACGACGC